GAGTAAGGCCACAGCATGTCGTCATCATTGCTTCAGCCGCTTTGTGCTTGGCCTCTTCTGTGCACTGCGCGATTTAGCGGTGGTCCGTCGAGTCAATGCGACCATGGAGAGCAAAGAATCTGCATGCCTCCAGTACCCAAAATTTGTGACTGTGGGGTCGAAGGCTGCTCCAAAAAATTCGGGGGACGAATCTACGCATGAAAGACTTCCGCGGTGTTGGTACGCGTCTCGCGGGCACGGCGGTCTTCGGCCTTAGTTAACTTTCTCTTACGGCAAGTGTGATTTGGTCGGTGAAACTTGTCGACGATGTAGTACGTATTTTACATCCTGGAAGCCATCTGCCTCGCTCTTCTTGATAAACTCCTGCGCAGGAAGTATTGCTGTAGGTCAATATAACACCCAGCAAAACAAAAACAGGGTTAAGCAACGAAGTCGAGCATCGTGAATAATAAGATCAGCCTTCACGTTTGGCGTAGCAAGGACGGCTTGCAGAAGTCGGACTTTGTCAGACGACCGCTCATTTACGAGATGTTCGCAAGCTAAACGAAGACGCTGAGAAACACGGTCTAAGACATACTGCTAACCGCAGTCCGGTCGGGTAGCACCTGACGTACTGCATCCTTCTGCTTATAGGAATATGTGCGTGTGAAATCCCCGATGGGTTTGCGTGGCTTGCCTCCCAGTCTCGCAGGCCTGGTATAGCGTCAACTCCTGGAAGCAGAGCACGATGAACTCCGAAGTTGCCAGCAGACCGCCGCAACGGAGATGGGCGACTCGAAGACATTGACATGGGACAAAATACCAGACAAGTTGACGATGAACTTCGCGGGATACTAAAGATTATACTCTATGACCTTGTAGCCGACGAGAAGCTGTTCGTTGTCTTGGGGAAGTACAGGTTACCAGACGGGACACTTCCGTCTACTTGTACGTTCGTAATCTGCTCGGAAGGAGCGGCATTGGAAACGAGGTCGTTGCAGAAAGCTTGAGAAGGTTACAGCAGGCAGATAGGGGGCACATGTTGAATGCATTCCACGGATAGTACGCATCATGAGCAAAGCTTGGACGGTGCAGCACTGATGAACCTATCCATCAACAGTAGCAAGAAACACAACACTGGAAGGTGTCACCTTTTCCTTGTGTGGCCAAGTCACGATGGGATGTGTGTATGCTCCCAAACAGTTCCGTGACGTTTTCGTCGGCGAAAGCTGCGATCACCATGAGCAAGTGTGCGGAGCACTCAGAACATCAGAAAGCTACGCGAGTTGCAAAACTGAACATGTCGTCCTAGCAGATGCTCTCTAGTCCATGTGCAAGCCCAAACCCAGCGGATCATCTTCCTCCTCCACCACATCCATGGCGTCAGAGATGCTTGAGAAATCCGGTTTGGGAACATGCACAGGCATGCACAGGGTTTGCAGGCTCAGAAGAACTGCGTGGCGTTGTGTCCAGCTCGATGACGGACTTAGAAGCTTTCAGCTCCATGGCCCATGTCCTAGCTGCTTCCTAGCTTTCTTGATCACCTGTTTCCCCTGCCTGTTCACCGCTTGGTGCGGCGGTGGAGAGGCTCCGATGAGGTAGGTTCGCTGCCGAACATAGCCTGGCGAATTTGCAGGCGTTTCTGGTGGTCCGGGCGGCGCTCCTGGATGCGTTTCTCAACAAGTTTCGACACCCACTCCTGCTCCCCACGCACCTGGGCGTTGAAGTCGGGGAGCAGTAGGCGACCGCCATCCTTGAAGATCCTGTGCAAGCCTTTCCCCGCATCTGCGAGATACTCGGCATGTGGAGTTTCGATACGAGGAACGCGATCTTGATTGAGGCGAGCCTTCCTGTAATTGATGTGCGTGTCTGCGTTTACCACGAAGACGCTTCGCTTCAAGATTGCATTCATGTGGGCTTTGGTGATGTCAAGACCGAATGCGGGCTTGATGATGCTCGAGAACCCATTGTGGAGGACGCTTGGTAAGAAGCTCTCTGTGTTCAGTTTGTAGTCCTCATCGAAAATACTGTCAGCGACGGCTCGAGGATGGTTATTGGTTCTGCACTTATTTCACAGCACCCCAGCGCTCGCATGATATGGGCTCATACAGACCCACGTCCAGCAAGGTTTTCAACATCTCGTTAGAACGCCACTTGATGGTGGTGTCGTCCAAGAAGTTCCCCGTGGCGACGTGTCCTTGCTCACCACGGAGGAACCGATCTCAGGGGTACATCTGGTGCAATGCAAGGCTTCTGGCGACTGCTGAAGCGGACCCGATTTTGTTGCACCTGAGCCATCGCGATACAACGAATTAAGGGCGACTTACATGGGCATCCCAAACCTTTCCGAAGATGTCCAGAACCCAAGTATGGTAGAAGGTGCTCGTGAACGGAATGGGCCAATCTCAATCTTTTTAGCTAGTCAGCTAGTGCTCCGTCAGCAGCGAGATTGCGAAGGGCTTTCTCAACGAGTCTGTTCGGCCACTTGAAGATTGGAGAGCTTGGGTTCTTGATTGCTTTCGTCATCCACCTCAACTGTTGCATTTCGCTGGCGGAACGAGGGCCTTCCGTGGCAATGTAATCAAACCCGCACCCACTTCCTCGTCCGTTTTGTCCTCAAAGCAGGAGGATTTCGTATTGTTCGAACCAGAATTTCTGGAGGTCAAGATTTTGAATTGACGACATCGCAGGTTCTCGAAGTTGTATTGCAGGATCTTCTTGCCTACCTTGGGATTAGCCGCGCCCCATCTGTAAATATGAGCCTTCCCGTGCACGGAGGCCATGAAGAGGCCGGGTTTGCACTTGTTACCGAAGATGAAATGCTTGATGCTGTAGTGTCTCGTCCGAGATGGGGACAGTGAAATTCTGCAACCTGGTGTCCTTTGTTTGGAACAGACTTTCGCGGACAGAACGGGATGGGAAGAAGATCCAGATCCATGTTGAGTGCGGCCCACTTGTACTTCGTTTCCAGGTCACGGAAGTTCGAAGACATTGATGGAGGGGTTATCCGAGGCACTCATGTCCTGTCGCGGAAGAGTCACTGGTGCGAAGATACCGGCAGGCATATTCAGGACCGCTGGAGATGTCACCGCCCTGCAGACCTATCGTCTTCTGGAGGTTGGAGGTCTAAGACAAATCCTTAGTCCTCAGCTGCACGTGCCATGATTTTTGGCTCCCGCATGGCAGCTCCCGAAGGCTCGACATGGCAGGTGTTCAAGACACTACCTGTATCAAGCAAAGTTCCTCCGACCTTAACCAGACCCCATCAATAACCACTCAACCATGACGCAGAAAGCAGCAAAGGGAAGTGAGGGAATGGCGACTGTTCCGATGTCGGGGCATGCATCCACTGACCAACGGCAGCCGGGTGCTGCATCCACGACGCGTTTGCGGAATCATCGCCGTCGTCGGCGTGACAAAAACACCAACAAATCCCTGAACCTTGAACCCCTCTGGAGCACCGGAGGCCAAGTATGCAAGGGTGATCGGCTGGCAGGGGTGTACCCTCGCACGACTAAAACAAAAAACATCCAACACCAAAAACACCGACCCCACAGTACCGGAGCCACCCGGTGACATGGGGTCGTTTTTATTTTGTTTTTCTGTTTTAGGGTTTTTGGTTTGAAATTACTGAGGTAGGCGCCACTGCCTAGCATGTCGCACTGTTCGTATTGTAGATAAAAAGCGACTGTGTTTCAAAACCCGGACCTTGTTTTAAACCAGTCGGGCGGGAAACCAATTAAGTTAAAAATATCGCAGGCTTCTGCTCGCTTATCCCTCTCCAGAAAGGCCTGTTGTGGCTGATATCACTACTCGGGAACCTTGACAAACTAATTATCTATACTCGCCACAGCAGTCCTTTCCGATCGATTAGTGGTAGCGCTGATTCGTACGGTCGTGTCTCCCTGGTCAGGCCATTGCGGTTCGCTTTGAACGGCTACTGGCAGTGATCGTGATATTTCAAGCCTGCAGTGCAGCCATCATGCAATATGCCTCTGCAAACGGCGGCTTTTTCGGGTGTTGCAGACTCGCTGAAGCAAGTCCTATGGAGTTTGCAGACATCTACATTTACGATCCTTTTATTGTGTTGTCTTTTCAAATTTCAAGTTAATGAATGGTAGTAGGCAGCTGCCTTGCTCGGTCATTCGTGACGGAGGCCTGCTTTGCCGTACGCGGCGCTTAGTACCTCATGCCAGACGAATTGTCTATTCTCGACCTGCGGTCGCAAAGCGTCCCTGTAGGACTGGACGCTGCGTTATGAATGAAACTGTAACGCCAAGACGATGTTCGCAGAGCTTCTTGGATGAAGATGCTTTGGTGAGTGAAATGGCTGCTCGGTCAAGGCCAATTTGGCAACGGCGGTGCAGTCAACGGAAAAGGCAAAGGCGGCGCCGTTTCAAGCAGGAGAAAGCAAGTCCCAAACAGTGGGAGTGAATGTGGCTGGCTCTTGGCCCTCGGTGCATCATCGTGGTTGGCAGAAAGATGATGACGTAGAGTCATGAGCAAAAGCTCAAAAACAGAAAAGGAACATGTTGTCAAGGCAACGGTGAAAACAAATGTGATAGTGGTGACAGCATGGCCAACACAACTCCGGCAATACCTCTCTGAAGCCACTGTCGTTGCCAGGTCCTCCTTCTTTGCCAGTATTCCTAGTGCAAAGCAAGTTACAGAAAGGGCATCTCAATGGATGATCGCCGCACAGTCAAGTCCACCGGTTTCGACATGTGGAACAAAGCTCTATTCGCTCTCCAAGCTTTCAACCAGCACACCAAGCAAAACACTGCTAGCCGCATCTCACCTGCCACCGATCGGATCGGATGCTGTATGGGTCATGGATCGCAAACGATCCCACATTGACATTCACATGAGCCCGCTTCCACCTTCCCCACCCCGTTTTCCTGAGGACGCTGGACCGGGGTGCACGACTCGAAGCATCTGTAACAACTCCGTCCGTGGACATGGAATCTTGTGCTTCTACCTTTGGATGACTGACGAAGAGACACGGATTCAGTATTCACGGCCTGGAGCCAGGCACGTGTCGAACCCGCCTTGGCGTGGCAAATTGTAAGCACACAGACTAGCGCACCCTTCCGAATGTTTCGTAGTTCACTGCCAGGCTGCTGTGCTGCTGAGACAACGGGAAGTATCGTCGCACCTGGGCAGATCCGCAACAATTAGCTGGCTGGGTTTGCCTGTTACAGTACCGGCTTTTGTGCCTGCCTGCCGGCACTGCCGGTGGTGCAGGAGCATAAACGGGAGCAGAGACTGAGCCTGCAGGCGGATGCAACAAGACGAAACTAACACTTAAAGAAGTCAGCCTTCTTCCCGTGGCAATACTGCCATGGGCCGCACACTGGACAGACATATCCTGTCAGCACTGCCGGTGTGCAATCTTCCAGGATGAGTTCATCGGCGATGCCTAGGTGCTGATGAACTCCGCGCCGGATGGTTTGCCCAAGTGTTTACCACTGATGGGTGCCTGTTGCTGCTAGGCCGTCAAGACTGCCGAGCATCACCCCCCAAGTACCGCGGCGCACTGCGATTACTGGGCACGCAGCGGACCGCGATCTCTTGGAGTGAACGGGCTGGGTTGCCTGATGAAGTAAGGTGTCGCGTGTGTCCGTCGTTTCGATTTTACAGTGCTGTGCTGGTCAGTCCTTCGCAGGGCAACGGAGGTCGCAGTGATCTGCGGCGCTATACTGCGCAGAGTTCTCACAGAGAATTGAGAGACTGCAGAACATGCCGTGCTGCAGTCCTGCGAGGCGTGTGAAGTGAAGCTCCAGAATAGCCTGCAAGATGGCACCAGGCAGTGGTTGATAAACCCATGTCGTCCAACAGAAGCCGTCCTCTAGGCAGGGCGATGGCCATGCGAACCTCGACAGGCAACCCCCGTGGTGATGGAAAGCAAATCTTCGGAATGAGTTGGAAGGCCGTGTATCATATGGTATCATCGCAACTCTACTGTCGCGACCAAAAACAAAGCAATTGCGGCCTGGCAGTTGCCTTAAGAGGTGCCCGATGCGCTGTTCTTTGGCATTGCCCGCTCGAGCCAAGAGTCAGGTGCAAAGACCCTCCGCGCCTTACAGGCATAGTTGTTGCCTCTGCAACCACAGTTCAATCGGTGGCTGAATCGGGATTTGCTTGAGCATCCCAAAGCCTTCGTCTTGATTGCCGCTTCTTTCCCACCGAATCCCTCGACGAACGCTCCGCACAAGCAGCTTCTGCCGAGTGTCGAGGCTGCTGCAGCCGATCCGCAGGGGCTGTGCAAGCAAGGGTATGGGTAGGGGCACCTCTGACTGAGATCAAACACCGTGTGCTACCTCTTAGAGTGTCGGTTAGTAGTGTGAGATAGTGTGAGTGTGGCATGAGGCAAGCTATGGGCATACCAGCGAGTCACAATGCATGATGCCTGTCCGTGTGCACGGAGATACAAGACTTGCACATGCAGTCAAGAAAGCATGCCGATGCAGGCGGCTGTGACTTTTTCGACGTACGCTTTGCAAACATCGTCCGTTTTGTCTCTGCTTCTGACATGTCTTGTTTAACAAGACTTGTCCTTGATTTCAAGCAACGGGGATGTAAACAATCACACATCAGTTGACCATGACGAACTGGAGTCAATCCAAGCTGAGGCCTTGAATGTTCACCTGAATATCTGCTTCCATTTGAGGCAGCCGCGGATTGTGGAGATGTTTGCTCCTCAAACGAAATGCAAGCACTCGAGACTCCATGGCGTGAATGGGCACGCAGGGCAACCAATGGTTCCACTAACAAATCTCAACAACCTCCTGTTCTCAGTGCCTTTTGCCTGCTGCCTGACTCTTAGTTAGGAGAAGGCGGAAAGGGGGCTAGTACAGCGGCACCATCATCATCTTCTTGCTTGTCTTGATTGGTCTTCTGCATGCTTGTCTCCATTGTGCTGTCGTGAAACCTTCTTGTCAAGGCGCTGCTGCGTCCATTTCATGTATGGTAGGTAGGGCTCGTCACCAAGAGGCTCCCATAACTTCACCGCAAGACAAATTGTGGGACACCTGTTTTCGGATTGAGGACCGGTCTGCCACGATAGTTTGCTCTCAGATAATGAGGGTCGGTGCAGCTGCGCACTGAACTGCCAGGTTCCGACAGAAAGGTATATGCTAAAAATTACTAAAAGTTGCATGGAATACCCTGCGGGTTTGGGTTGTGTGCAGGTGTACAGTAGAGTCGGTAGGTGTGACATTGGCGGACTCTTCGAACGCTGTCACGACGGTCGTCTACAGTGCCTATCGGCGCAGCTCTAAACCTGCCGAACTGCCTGAGAAATGCGGCGGAAAGTGGATCAAACCCCAATCAACTTCGCTCTTAGGGTGGGTACTCGCAAGCTCGCTCTGAGAAGCAACAGTATGCCAACCATGTCAACCAAGCTTCTCTTGTGGAGCTGCATCAAACTGCATCAGCTGCCTCATGTGCTGTTGTAGTTTCTTCTCGTAGCGGCCAAGTTCATCCTGCGGTGCAGTGGCAACGAAGGTTAGGCTTCAAAGCGCACGAAATGCACATGCTGCCGTGTATGCACAGCTCCTGCAGGGTCTTGTTGTCCTTTAGTCGGCGCCAGATTTTGTACTGGACGACCAGCCCGACGAATGCAGCCAAGGCTTGAGCCATGCTCTGGGCAGCCCCACGAGAAATTGTGTTGGCCTCCAGCTAAACCCTAGAGCCCTAGGCCGCTAAAGCAGTAGACCGTCAGTAGACCTGTCTGGCGCAGGAACTAGGATTGCATGGCGAGATGCCACTTGCTTGATGCATGACCAGGCTGTAATTTGCATGCCGTGGTGCGATGTCATCACAGAAAGATGCATCCAATTCCTCAACCCGCTGCCACCTCACAGCAGCACGGAGGAGAATCGTGATCGAGGCGTCTTGGCGGCTCTTCTCTTGTTAAGCTCAGCCGCATGGCTGCGCAATTAAGCAAAGACCTCAAGCTTCTCAATGACGTCAAGGTCGGAAGAAGCTCTGATTTCAGGTCTCGTGCAAACCTGATGGGCTGTGCATGCCACTGTGCAAGGCTGCCACCACATGAATTACTCAACCTGATGCTGCACAGTTTTGGATTCGGAGTGCGTCAATCGCCTTTCGTTTATTTCGGCACAGTTTCGCTTTCAACATTTGGCCGAGGGGTCCTTTCACTTTGATTTGCAGCAAGCCATTGGGGAAGTCCCACTTGTAGGGTCCTTTTGCAGCAAGCTATTTGGGAAGTAACATTTGTAGGGTCTTCTCATGCAGCAAGCTGTTGCGGGCAGCCACAGTGTAAGTAGGGTTTTCTTTAGCTGCTAGCTATTTTGATCGTCCCATTTGTACAGATTCCGGATCATCATATGTCTGAAACACGCCCCCTCATTTGGCGATTCGGGTTCATCATATATCTTAAAATACCTTAAGCATGCCTCCTCAGTTGGGTGCATCATACATCTTAACCACGCCCCCTCATTTGGAGTCTGGAGATGCCGCGCCGTGTATTGCAAACGCGATCGTGCAGAAAAGCAGGAAGCCCGGTTAGCTCAGAAATCAAATAAACCACGTTCTGCGACACCAAGCAGGGAAGACAAGCTGCAAGATCTGGACTGCGTCTGCCATCTCCGTCGTTTCTGCCAGTGCTGCCTTAAGCAAGCCCGCCTCTGCAATGACATGATCATGAAACTCGTGAACACCACAAGCTCGGAAGTGAATGGAGCCGTCGTCAGACATCAGATTGCATTGCAAAGCATCTGCGGCTAGGAGTTTCTCCTTGTTCTGCGCATAGCGCAGGGCGTTCCGAACATCCGGAGGCAGCGACTCAAACTCTGATTCTGAGGGCCGATTCGGAGATATCACAAAGCCGCCACCAGAAGTGCCGGAGAGAAATGTATATTGACCAGGCCCAGCAATCAGTTCCGCATAGGTGTTGAGGCCACGTATGGTTGTGACGCTGTCCGGGGCGATCTGATCATCAGCAGCCAATCCAGAATTCAGAAGAAGACCCTCTACGTTGGAGCCTAGCTCCAGCCTGCCGTAAGACTCAGTCTCGTTGTCCGGCCCCACAGGGTCGAGCAGAAAAGTCCCACCAAAGTCTTCTGCTGCATCGATTAACCTCTGAACTAGATCTGCAGATTGAACGCCTAGAGGTGGCTCAGCCAGCTTGTCATCGAGCTGGTAGAAGCTCTCGGCCAGCTCGCTCTGAAAATCCAACTTAGATCCACCCAGGCCAATAGCCGTCAGCATGTCCCCAGTCCGGTTTCGGGAAAGGCAAGTCTGTGCAAGCCTTACTGCTTCTCTAGCTGCCCTAGCTTCATTCGTGTCTTCATCGGTCAGGAAGACGCCGAAGACCGAAGCATACCTTTCCAAACCTTCGAAAGTCAGCAGTTCGCTTCGGACGAAGACGCAGGTTTCCGCTACCGGAACCGTGAGAATGAAAAGGCTGGAGCCGAGTGTAAGGGCCAGGAATGTGTGCAAGAAAGCACAGCACCATGATACTAAATGCAGTCTCCCACTTGGCGGACGCGCGTGTGGATCCTCGCCCATCTTTGCATACTTATACCGTGTACGGAGAAAGGCTGCCCAGCCAATGATGGCGCCTAGGCCAGCTAGAACCGACACAGACACGAACAACAAGTGCCGGATCGACTCAACTGTGTCAATATGTGGACGGTTCTTCACCCAAAGCTTTGCAACCGCTTCTTTCACTACGGCTTCATTGAACAAGCTGAACGAGATGTTGGCATACTTCATGGACTGAGCCAAGTCCGTCAGGTTCTGCTTAGTCAAATGCATTGCAGCGATCTGTCGAATTGTTGCAGTGGCCTGCGAAGATGAAGCCGAAATTTGCTGCTCCAAGGCACGTAAAAGTCCCACCGAAGGGTACCCTAGAGGAAGCGAGGCAGCTCCCTCGCCGACTCCAAGGGCCAAGTTGCAAAAAACACATCGGTGGTCAAACAGTCGTCGGCCCAAGCCGACTGCTTCCAAATTACTTGAGATGTGCTGCAGCCGGCGCAGAAGCAAGTCATGCTTCCTTGAAAACTCTTCCGAATTTGCCATGACGCTTCCAAGTGTCTTGCTGGCAACACTGTCTGCATCAAGGGCGACCCCAACACTGTTAAATCGACGGAGGGCGGGCTCTGTACCCAGGAACCAGGTTGAACCGTGAAGTACTTCGGCCGCGAAGTGATGTGCAACGCAAAGGCTCCAGTTCACAGAGTCATGTAAGGTTTGGCTTGCTTCCACCATGGAAGAACAAAGTGCTACCTGGAACGCGCTTGCACCACTCCACAAGACGACACCGATGATGACACACAATCGTGACGTCTTTGTAGGTTCCTTCCTTTCTTTGCAACACACCATTTGTCTACAACACCTGCAGCAGGCCACGAAACAGCAGGGGAACCATAGGAGGAACAGCAGTGCTGATAAAAACAATGGAATTCCGTAGGGTACTATCAATGACATAATATAATCCACCCAGGCTTGTTCACATTCGGACAGCTCCGCGGACTCCAATGGCGACATGCCACAGCGCAGCTGAGTCTGCGAGAACGCACTTCCAACCTGTTCTTGACGAAGACCATGCAGGATATCCGCCAAAGAACCGCTTCCACCTGGAGGAGCGCCAGCCAAATCGGGTACAGGGTACTCAAGGCCTCGCTGAATGATGGAGGGTCGGCGAGAAGGAACCCTGTCACACACAAACTCTGTGCTCGCAGCAAGCGAGTCGCTGTCTATGGGCGCATCCTCCGGCCAGATCTTATTCGGTGTTATATGCTCGGCCAGCTGGGCCCTGCAAAGTCGCAGAACCACCAAGATAACGGAGAGTCGGGCCGGCGCTTTCGGCAAACATTGCTGTAACGCCATGACATTGCATCAGAGGTTGCAAGCCACGCAAATCTTTTAGACACCACCTCAACTATGACTAACTTAACCGGCCATAGTGTAGCATAGTAAGTTCATTCATGGTATGCATCGGATATCAGGTGCAGCAAGACACACGCTTCAGCAAGCCCATTCCATTCATGTCCCAATTTAGATGTGCGCATCCGGAACTTCCTGCACCCAATGCTCTATGCATCGATTACATGTGCTGCCAAGACGTTCCCACATGCTCTCGCCTTCCGGTTTGTTGTTCTAGTTCCACCCATGACCCGTGAGGGAGCAGTGAGCAGAGCAGAAACTTTTGTCGAGAAGTTGGCACTGCCCAGCCCAAGGGCTGTTCTCCTGTGCAAAAAAGGGGTCTGGATGCGTCATGCCCATGGCTCAGCCATTGCAAGGCGCATCGCCAACCAGCTTTATGTTTCGGCCGTAGCTTGTGAGCAATTTGGCACGAGCCGGCTGGTCTGGTCTGACCCCGACAAGCTTGAATCACGAAGTTGCTGTCGTTGCAAAAATTCTCGTTAGAGCTTGATCACTGCATTCTTTGCGTGGAACGCAGAGTAAGTTAATTTGCGCTATGGTGAGCAGCTGACATGCTTGTTGAAGCCAGGTGCTACCGTCCACGCTCACTCTGCGCTCAACTACCTCAATAGCTCGTTCTCCTCCTCTGACACGGTCGGTGCCGGAGACACCTTCACAGACCAAAACCATGCTCAGAGTCTCAATTGTCATTTTGGTCTCATGGCCTTCCGCTGGTGAACATGTACGTGGCTGCCAGAAGCCTGGTGCAGGGACATGATCTTGAGCTGTCCATCAACATGCAGATTCTTCACAAGTCACGAACATCTGAAGCAAGTTGAATGCTTTTGCCAATGGCATTCCGGCCCAATCCATCCCTGCCTGCATTTCAGCGTGCAAAGTGGGCAGTGACCCATGGGGAGCCTTGTAATCGTATCTGGCCGTGTCTAGTGACCTGGGTCTCGTACCTGAGCATCTGCTCGCAGCACAGCGACAAGCTGCTGAAGCGGACTAAAATGAAAAGCCAACACACTTTTCTGATCTTTCCTGCAGGGTGTCGTAAAGGACCCAGCATGGGGGCACTTGTCGCATGTGCATGCCTCGTGGATGTAGCCAATGCCTTGACTGCTGGTTCACGCGACAGAAGCAATGTCTCCGTACCAATTTTCAATAGAACCCACAGACGAAAAACAACTTGGATCGGTGGCGAATCAGTGTAAGTTGCAGGTTGCAGTGCACCTGGTGCTGGCAATCCACGCGGGCGGCGACCCGCTTCCATCGATTTCGGAAGAAGAGGTTCGGACGCATTCCTAGCTTCACAACATTCGCAAGCTCGGCACTTTCCATTAAGGAACACGAAACACAGGGCTCAGAAACCGGAAGAAGTCCAGGATGTCACGAAGCAATGCAGCCCTCCAGTTCAGAGTTCATGAGAATGGGGAGAGCATCTCGCAGATCACCAGGGCGAAAAGCAAAGTGTGTGCTCGAACATGCTTTCACGTTTCGGTTGGTTGCAAATTTAGGGTGCTGGGCGAACGCAACTGGGCGGATGAATTGAACCACGAGGATGTTTCTCTAGTTCCCACTGGCAGGAGGTGCCGGGGCGTGTGTCATGATGTCCCACTGGCGCAAGACAATCAATGCCCCCGGCCGCCCAAATGTTCCCGCACGGTCTCGTTGTGTTTCAGCCAACGTCAGCCGGCTGGTGCCCCCCTGCAGCTAGAAGATGCTAGAAGGGAGCCTGCTAGCCTCGTTCCAGATTCACCGATAGTAACTAACATGATGGACAACATGCGCAGACTGCTGGGTGTTATGTGGTAGTGACGCACAATTTGTAGCCCACTCCAGCGGGCATGCAGGCAGCGGCCTACTAGTATCATGTGTACACCAACAGGAGACCCAAGAAAGCACTTGTTGAATTTGCATGCGGCCTGTGCTCACTCAACTCGTCGTATCCCTGATAAGCCTCATTCACACACGGTTCTGCCGAACCCACCGCCGTCACCCAGCTGCTGCGCCAAATAACGATTGCAGCAGGCCGTGCGCTATTATGTCAAGATGCAGCTCAACGTAGGAAATTTGGTGCTTACGAGATGGGACTAAGCTTGCAAGTGGCATGTCCATTAAATCGGAATGCCCTGTGCGTGCCTAGGGGCCTAGGGTCTGTTTACAAAGCAATCATACTCTAGCGAGTCAAGGGTAGAGATGAAAAGAGTCCCGGACAAGCGGCCCAGCCAGCGAAGGTCTGCGAGGCCTTTCTTCCAGTTTGGACTTCTTCACAAGCAGGGGGCTCCCCATGAAGGAGGTTGTTGCCATCTGTGAGCTGGCATAGCCTGCGCCCAGCAGAAGTGTTGAACATCTGTACCGAGCCACAGAAACCATGTAGAACGCGCAGGCAAAAGAAGCAGCCAGGCAGCAGCAGCAGCAGCAGCAGCAGTGGGAGTAGTAGTAGCAATCATCGTCGTAATCAAGTAGTCGCAGTCGTGCTCATGAAAGCAGAAACAAGGAAACAAGCAGCATCAGACAAGTAGTAGTAGTAGCAGTAGTAGTAGCAGTAGTAGTAGCAGTAGTAGTAGTAGTAGTAGTAGTAGTAGTAGTAGAAAGTGCCACGGAATACGGGCCCGTGTTTTTCGATAGGAATCACGTTTTCTCACGATTTTATCGCAACTATGGAAATAGAAAGGTGACGAAGCACGTGTAATTGCACTCACCTCCAAGCCAACTTGTGCTGAACCGGTTTCGGTTACTCCATATATTATAATAGAGCTTTTTCCTCGCAAGCAGTTTTGCAGCATTCGTTTGAAAGCATGAACAGACCTCACCATGCTAATACCAAATGATGATTAAGAACC